ATTTGGACAGCATCTGATTGGGGTGGGGTTTTGTGAGAAGAGGGGGTGGAAAGATAGTATTTACTTTTCTAGGACTCAATTCCCATTTTGTGGTGCTGATGAAATTTTGTTTACATTAACCATGCAAGTTTACATATATGCAAGTAGATTATATATAAACAGAAAGTACCTGATGAAGGAATAAATCTGTTAAAAGACGCTTCCAGGGCACCTGCAGAAAAACACACAGAAGTCAGCCCAGTGGACCAATTATCAACAGTTCTGTACAGCAAGCCAAAGCTGGGTGAAAAATTAATTAAGCCTGTTCATTTATCGCATTTTAATTCATATCTAAAAAGCAGACTACACAAGGCTTAGCTGGTTATACAGAAAGAGCTTCAAAATGAATTAGTCTCCTGCCTTTCTTATGCCTCAATAGTAGTTCTTGCACTCACTTTTGGAAAAGAACCACACGTAACTAGTTCCCAGTGCTTGTAAGCAGTGCATATTGTGCAACCAGATCATAAAAATCCTGATCACATACAAAGGCTCAGGGCTGTGGTTGGTTATGTGCCTCCAGGGATAAGTTTCAACACCTTGCCTGACACATGCTTCTTATAATGTTCTAGGCTCTGGACACCTCCAAACTGTGCCCATACAAACAGCATATTCTCTTAGCTTAATAGATGTTGTCCTTATAGACACGCTATGATTTGGCTCCTTCTTCCAGAACTCATTTCACCCTGCCTTCGTAGCATAACATATGGTTTTGTCTCAGCCAGTCACAGATACAGCTCTAGGTGAAAAAAAAAAAGTGCACAAAGTACTTGTGCAGGTTGAGCTTTGAAGGAACAGAAAGCTTATTATCAACACCGTGACACTGAAGAAAAAGATCCAGCAGAATAAATTTTCAAAAGCAAAGGAAATGATACCAAGTAGAGGTCCTCAGAATACAAAGGTCCACTAGATCCCTGCCCAGGGAAAGAATTTCTACTTCTGAAAAAATTCTCAGGTTGAAAATGGTGTATTTTTAACTCATCTTTATTAGATTAAGACATGTCATTTGAGGTCATCCAACTTATGTTCCACTAAGTCAGAGCCAGAAGCAGAGAATCAGGAGGAATCATAGCATATCCTGTCTGCTTTGGTTTAAAAGTCGATTTGAGGATGTAGTTTAATCCACACTACTTGTAACCCTAAACCCACCACTTTGTACTTCCTACATTTTATAAAGATTCCACGTTTATAAGTGGCATAAACCCCCATAAAAATATATATAAAAAATATTTTGCACAATTTTAATTAAAAACTAGAAAAAGTTAAAGTCAATGAAGTAACAGCTCCACCTACCTGGCTTTTTAGGCATTACCATACGAGTTGAAAAGTCTGCTTGCCAGCCCTGCTCTAATACACCTGAAAAAGCATTTTTACATTTGTAAGAACAAGTATCTTACATAATTGCTAGCAATGTAAAATAAAGATGCACATTAAAACCAGTAGAAAAGTATCTCAGTTCACTGCCTACATGCCGCAGTTCCAAGACATACTTCTAAAAATACCTATATTTAGACACGGAATTCAACAAATAACACTATGAAAGTAATAGCACATGGAACTAGTGTAATCCACTACCTTCACTCTTCCCTCACCACTGAATTGCCTTAACATTGCCACATATAGAAGGGGAGAATAACCAATAGTAACTAAAAAAAACCCCACACCACTCATTCAGAAAATAATTTTTCTGCTATTCACTGCCCCAACACTTTTCTTTACAACAGTCTCAGAATTTGTATACATGTTTCTGTTTACCATCACTTAAAGCTCTCTAATCTCAATCATCTGTAGAAAAAAATATACAGTGAATAAATGTAAAATACCTTTCACAGCTTCTTCTACAGGAAGCCCAACAAAGGCAGCAAAATCTTCTGCAACTATTGAGGTATATGCCTGAGAAACCAGTCCAAAGGCTCGTCTCCTAGTTGCATCTATAAAGAGATAAGCACTGTAAGCAGACAGTAGACTCATCTTCATAACTAGCAAATCTGAGAAAACTTTTCCAATTCTAAGACATTTGGAAAACCACTACCACCCTTAAAGCCAGCACTTTAGAAGTTCTCCCTCCCTTCCCACAATTCACTGAAGTACCACAGGCAGCAGCCAGAGACAACAGCTTGCTCTACGCCAGGACAAAACCCCTCACATTTAACTTCCAAATGCATTTTGCAGCATATTGGGTGCTGCCATCAGTATATAAACCAGTTTAGGAAACTCTGCTTCTGATGATTTCTCCATCTGCAATAAGTTTCTGTATCAAATTGCTCAGAATCAAGTTAAAAAAACCAAAACACCACACAAAACACCTAGCTAAACTACCCATGCCTTTTTCACCACATCTGCTCTGACATCTAAGCATTTAAAGACGAGTTGTTTCTAAAGCCACAGAGAATTTGTTATTGCAAAATACACTGGAAAGTTTTTTAGCAGTCTGTACTGCCCTCTAATAGCAAGACTTTGTATGTTACTGTTACATAGTCTACACAACATTTGTCTAAAGCCATATTTAAAAGAAGAATCTTTTCATAAGTGTCACAAGGTTCTGAAATGCCAAGCTAAGTTCCCTACATCACTGGTTACATGTCTGATAAAATTGGGAAATTAATGGTCCACTTTGCTATTACAGAACAAAACATACAGTGTATGAAATTCCAATATGAAAGCATACATAATCACATACACAATCCTAATAAAAACAACTCCGTTAATTTCTACAAGCTAGGTATTTTTGCAATGAGCTTTTTATTTACACCCGACAGCTAAAATCCTTTAAGTAATGCGTACAAAAACTTGGCAACAATCTTCCTGACTACTTCTGATTTTTCACAGTAAGTAGTCATTTGTCTACTTGTCTGTGTTTCGGCACTCACTTTAAGAACACATGCAATCCCACGCTACCCACAGAGGGTCAGTTTGTACCTCTTAGCGCTTCCATGATTGGTTGAATAGTCTCGGACCACTGATGCGCACTGATTGTTGTATAGATTCCTGGAAAGTCTCTCTGCCAGATTCTCTGTCCTACTGACCAAACCGCAGCAAGTTCAGCATTTGCCTGTTGCAAATAAAAACACACAACCACAAACAGGTAATCCAGAACAATCTATCCTCTGCAGTGACCATACTGTATAAACCCATTTCCACTCCCTTCCCCATTGCAAGAGCATAACACAGCACCTGCAAAGATGAACAGACAAAGCAATTGGCAACTCTTGTTCTAGCAGGTGTCACTGCCACAAGCTCCCTGATCCACCCTCTGCCACAATTTTATCACCCACATAAGCAAAGTCTGCTCACATCAGTCATACCAATCCAGGTTGACATACCAGCTAAAACAAGCACAGAGGATAATCTGCCCTCAGGCTGGAGTTGCAAAAACACAGGTACACCTTATTTTCTGCTTAAAGGCACGTTTGCCTCTCCTGCAGAGGATGTCCACACAGAAGGCAATTTTCAATTTGCAAGTCTTGCAACCTTGACAATAGGTCACACTTAACAGGGTGCCACAACTCAGTACTGTTGCTTCACATGAAATGCAAGTTACACCAAAAGTGCCAGATTAACAGCATATTGCTGTGCTACAAATACAGCTTTCACAGGAAAGCCAAGTAAAATTTTGTCCAGATGACTATCAACTTACATAACTACTTTCCTCTTGAAAGAAAACTATTTCAAATAATCTTGTAGTTCCCATCTTGACCATGATGTTTCTTCATACAAGACCACAGAACACCTGTTCCCTTGTAAAATATATGATCTCAAACTGAAAATCTAACCAACAGTAAAACCTAGAAGCTTATCTGTCATTATAATTAGCCAAATCCTCAAAATACATCTTTGACCCAAGTACAAAACAAGTGCCTTCAGAAAGTTGATCAATTTGAAGATGCATCTTATCTGAAGTCACTTTTCACTGTACAAAGTATTCTTCATCCTTATGTAGAATGTGGGCCCATCCCAGAGTCAGATCCCATTGCTTTCCTCCACCTGACTACCCTCTGTCATGAAGCTTTCTACTAAAAAGACTATAGATTCATGGAATTCTTTTGAACCAGATGATTTGTGAAGAAAATGAGGTAGCAGCTGAGCAACTGGGAGATCTTAAAGACCTATACGCCATCTACTGGGCAAGCAGTTCATAGCACAGAACTACACCCAAAGGCACTCGCCAAAAAGAATCTGCCCTAAATAGTAATCTAGAAGCTTATACGAAACTGGTTTAGTTTCAAACAGTATTTTATGAAGTACTTACAGATTTGATAGCAGGAGGGATTCTTTTCCAAAGATATCGTGCATTATTCCTAGAAAGATTAAATTCAATTACTTCTCAGGAACCAAGTGTCTGCTACAAGGACATACCAACAGGTTTCTTCAGATGCTATAATAAACAAGTCTCAGTGCTTTAAACTACTCTTTCTACGTCTACTGAAGTAGAAAAACCGAGCTACTCGCACGTAGACAGCATGACCACCACAATACAACAAATAGTTCATCAACTGCCTCACTCAACACTAGTTTAGAAAAAGTTTTTCATTTATCTACCATAGGCAGCACTCTAGAGAAGTTAGTTTTTACAGTTTTGTTTCTGGAATAGCTGCATCTTTGATGAACAGACATACAAACAGTAACTTTTCAAAGTGTCAGTAGTCATATAAATCAGTGGTCTCCAAACTTTGATTCATTTCCAACAGAAAAACATTTCCGAGCATGCACCCTCAAGAATATGCATATGTATTTATACCTTACTATGGTAGCACATGCATATAATGTATTATGTGCATTATAGAACACACAAATGCAGACATTAAAAAGGATGAAATAAACACCATTTAAAGATATTTTACTTATTAGCAGTACAGAAATCTTCACATGCCCACACTCCACTTTGCAGACCAAATATTTCAACTGTTTTGTGCATGTTCTTCCCAAGCCAGCTTTGTCACATACATTCTGGAGATTTGGATATATTGAAATATTTAGTCCTTGATCTTTAGAGCACAGATGTCAAACTGAAGTGGTTATAAATTCTCAGAAAGATTTAAAACATACAACAGAGAAAAAGACTCACTGCTTTTTATTAAAGCAAAATTATGAAACACCAGAGCTCTAAAACTTCAAATTCACTTGAACCAGGGTTATCTGCATTAAATCTAATACTCAGTATCAGCATCCTGGGAATTTTCGCTGAAAGAACACACATCTACAAGGCAAGAAAACACCCAGATCTTCGAACTCCCACACCAATGCTTGATAATCAAACATAGCAGTGTCATTTATTTGGCCTGAATAAATAATCAGCAATTTCTCAATAAAACCCTAAACATAGCAAATCAAGTTCACACAAGGACGTGGTAGTAATCCACCAGGCTGAACTCAAAGGATTACTGCTTCATGCAGATTTAGCTCATTCAAGCCAACAGTATCCCTCATTTTTAACATGGACCTTTTAGTGTTATCCCACTGTAACTTAAACAGAAGGAGGAGCATGCAGTCTTACTCAAAACAAACACAGCTTTGCAAAGCTACAAATCAAAATCCTCAAGTGTCCAACACTTTCCAAAGAAGCCAATTTCACTATTTAAGAAAATTTCTTCCTAAAGCCAATCTC